TCAATTTTTAAGGCATTGTGTTGTGTGGTAGTGAAGGGCTTTATTATCGAAATTAATTTATTCAATCGGATGATGATGACAACGATGACGATGACAACCGAGATGGTAAAAATGATGATGATTTGATGATGATGATGATAAGGATGATGATGATTTGATGATGATGATGATAAGGATGATGATGATTTGATGATGATGATGATAAGGATGATGATGATAAGGATGATGATGGCGATGATGATGATGGTTAAGATAGTGGAGATTTTGAAAATGAAGATGATGGAATGATAACAACGATGATGAAGACGAAAAAAGATGCATTGTATTAGCGAAATAAAAACGAAACGAGACGAAACGAAACGAGACGGAACGAAACAAAACGACATTCTATTTGCTCTTTAAAATTAAGAAATTAACCATTAAGAAACAATATTGATATCACAATGAGGATGATGATGATGATGATGAATGCATGCATTATTAATAATGCGGTATTTATATAGCGCTAATTAAAGTGAGATCTTGAAAACGTTTTTAAGAGGAATTTATTTCACAAGGTCTCTCTCACTCTTTCTTTCTCTCTCTCTCTCTCTTTCTCTTGCTCTTCTTCTCTCTCTTTCTTTATTTTTCTCAATTTCTCTTTCACTCTCTTTCTTTCTCTCTCTCTCTTTTTTTCTCTATTCTCCCCTCTTTCTCTCTCTCTCTCTCTTTATGCTACAAAGAAAGAACATCATTAACGATTTTTAATATTTTTGTGTAATTTCAATGATGCTGATAACAATTATTATATTAATATTAATTTTGTTATTATTATTATTGTTATTATTATTATTGTTATTATTATTGTTGTTGTCATTGTTGAAATTAACGTAACTATAATTATTGCTATAATTATTATTACTATTAATATGACAATAATTATTTCGCGTGTTTCTATGAATGTCTGGGTATGTGTTTATGAAGGTATGTATGTTTGTATGTTTGTTTGTTTGAATTATCTGTATGTTTTTGTTTTTATGTATCTAATATATTTTTGTATTTTTGAAACATTTTTTTTCAATTATGAATGTATAATATGTATATCTATCTATGAGTGTTTGTATGTTTATTTGTGTGTGTATATGTCTGTGTATGTATGTATGTAAGTAAGTATGTATGTATGTATGAATGTATGTATGCGTGTGTTTAAGTTTGTATGAATGTATGTGTGTGCACGTTTGTATGTGTGTGTCTATGCGCATGTGTTTGTGTGTGTGCGTGTGTATGTGTGCGTGCGTATGTGTGCGCATATGTCTGTGTGGCTGGCTACTTATTTAGTGTGGTC